TTTTCGCATGAGTTACATTGCTGAAGAGATTTAGTAGTTTGGGGCTAGTTGTTTATCACGATTAGGTTTGTGAATGACGTTTTGTGGGAACTCTATTCATTGAGTATTTCTAAATTCCTATTTAAACTAAGAATGTGCAACTTCATTTTAAAAACTCGCACTTTCGGTGCGTTTGTTGACATTTAAATAAAGACGTTAAAAGGACAAACCTAACGCTGTTAATGTTATAGTCCGTTTCGTTAAATGTACAGCTAGAGAGAAACTGATATTTTGTATGGTTATTAAATTGTAGTAGTAGTAGTAAAGCATATATATATATATATATATATATATATATATATATATATATATATATATATATATATTACTATTATAAAAACGCAGATTGTACGTGTGTATGTGTGTGTGTGTGTCTGTACGTTTATATATTGATCGGATTTCCTATATTTTTCAACCGATTTCAACAAAAAAAATCACAGGACTATGTAAAATTACCTTGCGGTGGTTCTGACAGCGCCAAAAATGGGAAAAACACAATTGTTTTTGCACGAAATCAATTTGAAAACACGATAAAACACTATTCTGTCGCAAGAATGGAAGGGGGACAACTCATATCGAGTTATACTTATTATAAAACCCAGGTTGTTTGTGTGTATGTGTCTGTGTTCGTTTATATATGGGATCGGATTTTCTAAATTTTTCAACCGATTCAACAAAACTTCACTTTTTTTTTTGGCAGGTAGTGTTTCTTATTGTCTTGCACACTTTTTCCTTTATTTTTACATTCAGAATGCTTTAAAAATTCCATTTACAAGACAATTGTTTATAATAAAATTCTATTCAATCGATAGACTCATAACGATTGAAAACAATGTTTTTGTTTGAGTTTGGGTTTGACCAATTCGTAACCCCCCACTAAAAAAACAAAAAACAAAAATAATTAAGACATGCGTATATATATGTGTGTGTGTGTGTGTATTTCGGAAGCATATTTTCATTAAGACATGTCCCGTTGAGCAGTTTAGACATGTTCTGTCTACTTATTTTCGATAAGATCTTTTCATATTTGCGGATAAGCTTTTTGGTGTCATTATTGAAAGACAAGAGAAAATGGCCGTATTGCAAAATATTTCTTTTATTTCCAAGTACTTTCGACATATCAATGTCATCATCAGGGTAAAGTTTATTACAATAAATTAATATACAATATCCTGATGATGACATTGATATGTCGAAAGTACTTGGAAATAAAAGAAATATGTCTCAACACGGCAATTTTATCTCGTCCTTCAATAATGACACCAAAAAGCTTATATATTATATATATATATATATATATATATATATATATATATATATATATATATATGTGTGTGTGTGTGTGTGCGTGTGTGTGTGTGTGTGAAAATATATAGAAAATAGGAAAGAACTCGTTATTCGGCTCTTGTTTTGAAACATGAGACCTCTTATGTAGCGTGTTGGAATCATATTTTAAATAAATAATTATATATATATATATATATATATATATATATATAGCGTCACAGCCTCACACATGCTACGCATCGCTGATTTTTTTTTTTTTCAGTTGCAAGTAGATTTTTACAGGACTGTGCCACACGCACAATCGGTTTGGGATTTAGAGTGGTTCTTCTCCTAAACTAGTTGCCAAACGAGGCTAGAGAGCACAATCTAACCTGTCATTATCCTGATCTATGAAGTGATGGATTCATACTGTCCTAAGGGAATTTGTAAATAAGCGAAAGCCGCGACGTCGGTCGGAATTTGAATCCAAGATACTAGAACCACCATCCTAATCCACAGCCACTACGCTACATGCACATCCGCTCCCATCTCAGATAAGGATTAACTTCAACATTTCAAAGATTTCTCTAATTCTAAAAGCAGATGAACTGCTTGAACTTTGTAGATACTTACTCATTTTGAGATTTCAAATATGTTCCGGAAAGTGTGTATCCCTTAAGGTACTAAATGTTCTGTGATATTTATACTTATTATCTAAGTAAATGAGTTTGCCTGCTATTCTCTGTAGTAAGTAAAGCTAAACGAGCTGGTTTTGAAACGACATTTGTATTTTGGGGGTTTATTTTGGAGTGGGGGGACTGTTTATTTGCTTATAATTGTTTCCGCTTCTAACATGATAGCAACGTTTTCTTTCAGCGATCTTTCTAGATCACGCCCACCAATTCCAAAAATGAACTCATCCAATCATACACATTCTAGCATGGAACTGTCAAGCTATCAATTTAAACATATGGTGCGTCTCGGTATCGAATAATGGTTAGAAGGCTTTATTAGTGAGTAGTGAATTCGATTCTCACTGAGTGTCAAATATTTGTGACCCTATACTCAAACCAAGCCAGGCTTAATAAATGTAAGTTATAACATGTGAGTGTGCTTTAAACGATATTCACTCTCTCCTCTCTCTCTCTTTCTCTCTCTCTCTCTCTCTATATATATATATATATATATATATATA